CCATTCTCTTTGTATTTTCTGTTATGTGAAATGGTTTTATCTGTATATAATTGTATTATTGTTATGTTGTTAGCCGCCTAGAGTGGTCCTAACAAAACTAGATAGGCGGGATATAAATTAAATAAATAAAAATAATAAATAAATAAATAAATAAATTTATTCTCCAACAGAAAGAAACAGCTGGGGCTCAGCAAGAGCATCAGGCTGGCTATCACTGCTACTCTGCTACCAGCTGAACCAACTGCCTTGCTCTGCTAAATGGCAAGTATAGACAGGATTTCTGTCTGTGTTGGAATTATATTGTTTGCATTTCTGAAGAAATGGTGAGGGATTTTGTCTTTCAATTTGAAGGCAGACTTTAAGATTGACCATGAACATAGCCAACCACGGAGAATGGTGCTCTATCCCCATCTAGTGTTGTGGAGATGTCTGGAGCATTTTGTGAGTGTGCTCTTGACTGTGAAAATGGCACCACTTTGTACATTTAAAGGAGGGACAGTGGCAAGGCTGTTTCTGCTTTCTGACATTCCATGGTACAGAATCTACTGAGTGTGGCTAGCTGAGCAGTGTTCGTGAGCGTTTAGAAGGAAGACAAAGGCCACCGCCGAATGTGTGAGTGGACAGTCTGGCCCAGGGGCTCAACCCTCGTTAACTCAAGCTGCACAGGGATATTCGTGTTTGTATACAAATACCCCCATCTCTAGTTTCAACCGCAGAGCTTCATTTCCATGCTTAACTAATGTAATACTGCCTACACACACACACGCTCTTACACACACATATAAACACTTTCCAAATATAGAAGCAGCATAAGGTGCACAAAAAAGCATGCCCTGCTTCTGATTCAAATTGCTCACTTCAGAAGCTGCTTTTCCTATCCAGATATGGCTTTGATGCACACGTTCACAAGTAATGTGTAGCTCTGCTTTTAAGTCACATGAGCACCAGTTCAGTCTTACAACTTCCTGCAGAAAGGCAGTAGACACACACATTTATTCCCTTTTATATAAATAAATCAAGTTTCCCTACAAGCTCACCCTTGGCCCACCCTTCAGCCTCAGATTTGGGAATGAGTGCCTATTATAGCACAAGACGTTCATTTTGCCACACTTCTGCTTCAAACCAAAATGCAGCATAGGGAAATACTCAATATTGACAGCAAAGTATACCTAACTGTGAGATCCCTTTTCGGAAATTGCCTGATACTCGATAGCAAGTGCTTCCATTCCCTCCACACACTCGACACCGGTCCATCACTTGGGAAGAATAGAGGCTGCCATCACATCCTATTGGCTGGGGAAAAGAGGAAGCAAGCTTAAAGTCTGAAATCTCCCTTATGAGCATAATCAATAGAGCTTATTCATACACTATTTGATACTCTTCCTTCTCTTTCCCAGCTAAAACCAAACCAAAATATGTGTGTAGCTAAACTTGCAGACATTCACCCTTTCTAACTCTTGCTTTACCTCTCCTCCATCTCCCCTCCTCTAAATTTAGATAGTAAGCAGCTGTTTACACCGCTCGAGAACATACTGGTTGTGCTGCATGCCCACTTTGTTTCCTTGGCAGAAATTATAATGTACCCAAATGTCTTGTATTCCTTGCCCATAGCTTTTTATTTCTCCCTTATCTTTGGGAAGCACACCCTCCCCACGAAGGTCGTAAATGTTTAGGTCTACCTAGTTCATAAATCTAGAAAAAAATAAAGAAAAACATTCAGTGCAGAACATGAGATTTGTAAAATTATGCATGGTGCTGAGAAAATGGAGGTAAATGTTCTCTCTGATGATACTGTAACATGGAGAAAACACCCACTGAAATAATAAATAATAAACTGGGAATGGACAAAATAGAAGACTTCATCCAATGCTGGATTTGAAACCAGCCATCACCTTAAATAGCCTTAACCATACATTTAAACATGCTCACAGAAAACAGATTTATCAGTGGTTACTCATCATGAAAGCTAAATGGAAGTCCCAGAACAAGGGTGGAAAATCTGTGACTCCTCTGCATGTTGTTGTATTGCAGTCCCTGTGCTGGCTTAATGGGAGTTGCACTGCAAAAACCTCCGGAGGGCCATACATTTCCTCACCCTGCTCCAGAGGTAAGTGTCTCTTTCATTAAGGAAAGAGGAAGGATAAAAGAGACAATAAGAAATACTCTTCTGGAGTTTCCCAGAGGCAACTGGCTGTCCACTCTTGGAAACAGGATGCCAAATTAGAAAGCTCTTCTTACATCCTTGACTGTGCTTCTATGTTTTGCTAGGCTGAGAAGTCCTCATGCCACAGTTCTAAGAGGTATCATAGCTCCACTGAACACAAGAGGCAAAACCCCTGCAGATTCTAAGTGAATCCCATACACAGCTCCTCCTTCCAGTGTTTTACCTCACATTTCCCATTGATGCAGACCCCTTGGTAGGTTCTGTCCTTGCATGAGGTGCCATCCTGGGCTTGTGCCATTAGCTGTCTCTCTCCACTCCTGGTAGTGCATTGGAGATCACAGGGCTTGTTAGAGATGCTGGTATAATCATCTAGAGCAAAACATGGGAGAAATGGCAACAGAGGAGGAAGATATCAAGTAGTTCAGGAGAAAGGCAAAGAGAGGCAGCAGCTCTTGCCCTCTAGAAATCAATAGACTGAATCTGACTCCATTGAAGCTGTCTGTAAGTCAATGATTTCAAACTCTGAAAATCCCATCTGAAGTATCTTGCTGATTCCAGGTGTAGAAACAAACTGGCCATACTTATCAGAACATAATAAAAATCATCTGGTTCTTAGCAGGTCTGAAAATTAGGTAAATACAACCTCAAATGAACAACAACATATTATACTGAGCTATGAATTATTTAACAAAAATAAAGCCGAAATGGAGAAGCCATGAAGTACACATTGTGATTAAATAGCTTGTAGAACCATCTTTAGCAGCAGTAACTTGAAGTAATCATTTTCTCTATGACTTTATCAGTCTCTCACATCATTGCAGAGGATATTGGCTCACTCTTCTTTATAATGTTGCTTCAGTTCATTGAAGTTTGCAGGCATTTGTTTGTGAACAACTCTTGTAAGGTCCTACCACAGCATTTCAATCAGGCTGAGATCTGGACTTTGACTGGGACATTGCAACACCTTGATTCTTTTCTTTTTAAGCCATTCTGTTGTAGATTTGCTGATGTGCTTGGAATCATTGTCTTGTCGCATGACCTAATTTTGGTCAAACTTGAGCTGCTGGACATATGGCCTCACATTTGACTCTATAATACTTTGATAGTCATTGTCAACTCAATGACTACAAGGTGCCCAGATCCTGTGGCTGCAAAACAAACCCAAATCATAGCCGCCTAGAGTGGTCCAGACCAAGACCCAATATGAGGCCTAACCAGTGCTGATTAGAACTAACACCTCGTCGGCTTTGGAAACTATACTTCTGTTAATGCAGCCTAAAACAGCATTGACCTTTTTTGTTGGCTCATATTTAGCTTGTGATCCACAACAACTCCAAGATCCTTCCTGTTCATAGTTTCGCTGAGCCAAGTATCCCCCATCTTGTAACTGTGCAATTGGTTTCTTTTTCTGAGGTGCAGTACTCTATTTTATTTATTTATTTACAATATTTTTTAGCCACACCATTACCAGTGGCTTCTGGGCAGTGTACAACATTAAAACTTAAAAACATTAAAAAGACAATATAAAATATCCTATATTAAAACAATTCTTAAAACATTAATAGCCTCGTGGCGCAGTGGTTAAAACGCTGTACTGCAGGTAAAACTGTGTTCACGACCTGGGGTTCAAATCCCAGGTAGCCGGCTCAAGGTTGACTCGGCCTACCATCCTTCCGAGGTCGGTAAAATGAGTACCCGGCTTGCTGGGGGGGCAATGTGTAGCCTGTATAATTAAAATTGTAAGCCGCCCGGAGAGTGCTTGTAGCGCTATGGGGCGGTAATTAAGTCCAAATAATAATAATAATATTAATAAGTCCTGCTGCTCATGTGGACAGCTAGAGAATACTGTTTAATTAAAATGCTGGCTAAACAGAAAGGTCTTTGCCTGGCGCTGAAAAGCCAAAAGTGGTGGAGCCAGGCGGATCTCTATAGGGAGGGCATTCCAAAGTTGGGGGGCAACAGCCGAGAAGGCCCTATTTCGACATGCCATCCCCTTCACCTCTTTCAGGGATGGCACCTTTAGAAGGGCCTCCTGGCCTGATCTTAGAGGATGGGCAGGCTCATATGGAAGAAGGCGGTCCTTTAGGTAACCAGGTCCTAAGCCGTTTGCATGTATCCATGTTGAATTTCATTCTGTTTGTCATGGTACAGATTATTAAGGTTAAAATGTGAATTGTGGATGGGATATGTAGTTGTGAACAATGTAAAATGGATTCCATATTGGTTCTGTGTATGAATGATTTTGTATGTGGAGAGTGTATTTCCAGAGGGCTGTGGGAATGTTTTTCCTTTAGGCCAGGACAAGCCAACACAAGATAAGAAGACCAGACACTTGTGGCGTAGAAGGCGATGGACTGAGAAAAACAACACCTGTTTCTCATGAGAAGAGAAGGAGGGACTGCTTCTATAACCTTATGCCATGATTGGATGACAGCTTGAGAGACGAAGGAGAAGGATGGTTCCAAGAAGATTGAAAAATGAACTTTTACTATGTGCAGAGATCCTTCTTTTGTTCTACACTTTTGTGCTATTTTTTCCATCATAGGTTTTTCTAGGTCATTTTGCCTGCTGCTCCGTGCAGGTAAAGGACTGGGGAAGATGTAGGGAGTTAAGGAATGAAGGGGGGCTTTATGTCCTTTGCCTACCCTAAGGAAGCTTTTAGTGATTTTTAGAGATTTTTAGAGCTACTGTAATTAAGGTGAATTATTGCTCTATTTGTATTTTATAACAAGCCTTGAAAACGCAAATTTGCTATGCTTTTGCATCAAACTGACTATTCTGTAAATCTATATTTTTTCAATAAAAATAATAATTATAAAATCTTTTGGTCTCTTCATCAGTAAAGCTGTCATAGCTATACCCTGAGGGGGAAGCAAGGCCACATTAAGCTACTGAGTCCTACCTTATTGAGCCAAGTAGATCTAAGGACTACAAAGCTCATGTGTAACTTTCTATTGATTTTTCCTAAGGTTGAGCAAGTATCTTTTTAGGGCAGACTTGTAAGAAGAAGTCTGTTGTACGCCCTGGCTGAGGTCATCCAGGACTCAACCCAGCTGCATAGGGGTGCTCAGACTTCCAATTACTCTCTGTCCGACCAATCAAGTTCTCCTTCACAGGAAACTGGTCGTGACACTGTTGTTTTTGGCCCAGTGTTCCATCCTATCAAGATCATTTTGAATTTTGTTCCTGTCTTCCAGGGTATTCGTTAATCCACCCAAGTTTGTGTCTGTGATGATTTGTGTTTTTATGTGTATTAGAATGGGATATGTAGTCCTAAGATTGTCCCAATAGCATCCATCTTGATTTAATGTCTGTGTCTGTGGTAGGAAAGTTTTTCATGCTGTTTCAGAGAAGCTTCGCTCTCTGGTTATCTTGTTGCTAAGATGAGTAGAGAGCAGAGACTTTCGTAGTCATAATAATTCTGCCACAAAACTTGGTAACAACTCTCAAGCTCCCATGAGAAAGTTAGGCGGGACAACAAGACCCAGGAGGGGGTGTTCCTTATGAAGAATTCTGGGAAGAAGAAGGAAGTTGGTAAGAAGTTGGAAAAAAGATGGAGTTGGACTGAGAAAGGACATACACGTGCTTTTTCCCAAAATGGATTGTAACTTTTGGATTATAACTGATATCTAACTTTTCCTGGTGGATCATGGACTATGGAATCACAGGAACGTAAGAATGACTATGCTTATGCATTATCCTAGTTTAGAATGCTTTTAATTATTTTATTTTTCTAGCTGGAGTGGTGGGAGTGAGCTGTCTGCCTTGTTATGAAAATGTTTCTAACTGAATTACTTTGCAATAATCTGAATTCTTTTCTGAACCATATTTCTTAATAAAGCAGTAATGTTTTGGAATTGCATGCATTGGTTTCTTGAACAGACTAACCTATCTAATTGGCCACGTGTATTTGCTACCACATATAGAACCCAGATTAGCCTGAGTTTAAACTCATGGATTTGTCTGTGTGTGTGTGTTGCTTTTCTTAATAAAGGAGGTGGATTTGAGGAAGGAGTGTTAGTCAGGGCCTAGCTGAGAGTCTTGGGCTCATCTTAGCTCCTAAAGGACTGACTAAACTTTGGAATCTCTCCATTCTCCGGCATCCCCGGTATCTGCAAATCTGACAAGCATTCCCGGCACTCCCTCATACAAATCATTAATAAAAAAATGTTGAAAAGCACCAGGCGCAGGACTGAGCCTTGGGGTGCCCCACTTGTGACCTCCTCACAGTTTGAGAAGGAGCTGTAAATCATCGCCCTATGAGACTTGATCTAGCCAGGCCACAACTAGTTAGCTCTCTAATCAGGATATCATGGGGCAATTTGTCAAAGGGTTTGCTAAAGTCGATATACAATGTCTACAGCATTTTCTAGGTGCTTGTATAGTGACCATTTCACAATTTGTTCCAGAATTTTCCCTGGGATTGACGTCAGGCTGACTGGCCTGTAGTTCCCAGGTTCTTCTTTTTTGTCCTTTTTTGAATATAGGGACAACATTAGCCCTCCTCCAATCATCTGGCACCTCACCCGTTTCCCATGATTTCAAGAACATAATGGACAGCAGTTCTGAGAGTTCTTTGGCCAATTCCTTCAGTACTCTCTGATGCAGTTCATCCTTGGATATTTGAACTCATTCAAGGTGGTAAAGTAATTTCTTGGAAGGACCATACTTCACAGAATTTGCCTCTATATCTGGATAACTGAAATCTCATTGAAATCCATGCAATTTGTTTTTCAAAAGCTTTGTCGACTTCTACTCTTTTATTTGAGGGCCAACTACCAACTTCCTTTTGTTTTTTTGGCCCCAATTAGATTGAGCCAGATGCTCTCAATGGGACAGCCAAACTCCTCCTCCTGTATGTCTGTTCCAGAATTTTTTTTTTACATATACTGCAACTCCACTTCCCTTTATGTTCTTTCTATTCTTTCTGAACAATTTATATCCTTCAATTGCTGTATTTCAGCCATGGGAGTAACCCTACCAAGTTTCAGTTATTCCTATCATGTCATATTTGCTGTCCTGAACTAAAATTTCCAGTTGGTTGTTGTGGGTTTTTCGGGCTCTTTGGCTGTGTTCTGAAGGTTGTTCTTCCTAATGTTTCACCAGTCATCTTCAGAGGACAGGAGTCAGAACTCTGTATGTGCTCTGGTGCAGTTTGTTTGGATAGTTGAGCATTTATAGCTGTGGGATCAGCTAAAATTTTCAGGGCTTTTTTGTTTGTTTTCCATATTTCTGGCATTCGTATACAGGCAGCAGAGATTGTGTGATCTGTGGCCTGTTTGTATATTTTTAGGAATATTACTAGTAATGTTAATGTTGTTATTGACCTCCATTTGAACAGTTTCATCTGTCCCTCTTATTGTGAGTAATGCTTCATCCTTCCTTAACACTGTCCTTGCATCTTATTCCCCCTTCCAATTCAGTTTAAAGCCCTCTTGATGCAAGTTCTTCATGCTCTGGCCAAACACATTATTCCCAGTACTTCTTAAGTGCAAGCCATCTCTTACTAGCAGTTCTTCTTCCAGGAAGCTTAATCCGTGGTCCGAAAAATCCAAATCCCTCATGTCGACAGCGTATTTGTAGTTAAGTCATTCACCTGCAGTATTTTCCTTTCCCTTTCTTTTCCTCTCTCTAGTACTGGTACAGTATCTGGGCCTCAAAGTCCTTGAATTTCCTTCCCAGAGCTTCAAAGTCTGATGTGGTTTCTTCAGAGCTCCTCATGGGCTGTGTCATTTGGCCCCGCATGGACAAGAAGAAAGGCATATGTATCTCTGGGTGATGGCAGTCCTTCTTGCCCTTTTTACCTCCCGGGAGATAGCATACCTGGTGAGGCCATGGATCTTCCTAGCATATTTCGGTCTCAATTCCATGTAATAGGAGTCCCCTACTATAACTACTGTGTTCTCCTCTTTTCTTTTCTTTTCTTTTTTTGGGGGGGGTAGGGTAAGAGTTCAGTGACTGTATTTTGCTGTGCTTCAGCTCTTCTCTTGTCCTTCTGTGGGGTCTCCGCTGCATGCTGTCCAGCAGACTCCTCTTCAAAAATCTGAAAGCAGTTTTGCAGTTCCACTGGTGAAGAGTTTCTTCTCCTTCTTTTGCTCCTAGCTGTGACTCTTTTCCATGGTGGTGCCTCCCCTGTGTTTGTACTCTCCTCAGCACTCTCCTCCGCTGCTTTGCTTTGGTTTTCTCCCATCTCCTGTGCCCCCTGTGACAGCTGCTGCTGCTGTCAAGAGTTCTATCAATGTAGGCTTCATCTTCCCTTATAACCGTTAGTGTCGCTACTTGGTGCTCCAGTTCTCTCACTATTTCTTCTAACTGTGTCACTAGTTTGCACTTGTTACATGCGTACGTCACGTTAAATTCAGAAACAAAGACAAACATAACAAAAACTTTGCAGGTTACTACTACTGAATTGTCTCCAGCCTCCATAATCCCCGCTAGCTTTTTGCTTCCAACTGATTGTTTATGAATGCCCGTCCATTTTATTTTGTTGCTTTGGCTGTAGTTGGAAGCATCTACAAATATATAACTATATTCTAAAGAACAAAAAAAAAAGTTGGTAGGGGCCTCCCCCTTTGCAACTTCTGTTCACGCTCCCTGGTCGCAAGTTCCCTAGGTCTGTCTTTAGCTTTATTTGTCTGCTGTGCTCTGCCCTAAGTCAGGTATCAAAAGGCCCTCCCAGAACTCACAGCTACTACTTATAGCTCTCAGCAGTAATCAGGACACTCCCTTTTCTGTTAAGCCAAGCACATGGCTCTAAAGCTGATCACACAGTCATTCTGTCTGCGCAATTCCTAGAGGTTACTCCAGGTCCCTTCTTGATGTTACTCTTTAAAAAACCACTCACCTCTCTGTCTTTTTCTCCTTGGTCTTCCCTTCCCCCAGTGGATCTGTCCTTCCTACCTTCCCTTCCTATTTCTTCCACTGGGAAAATCCTGTTCACTCACTCTGGTCCCAAGCTCCCTGGGTCTGCCTCAGTTTCATTCCTCAGCTGTGCTCTGTTCAGAGTCAAGAATCAAAAAGCACTACTTTGCTCCAGTGCATCCTAAGTGCATCCTAAGTCCACGTAACTTCTTAAAGTGCATAACTTCTTCCAGTGCATCCTAAGTGCACATAACTTCTTAAAGCCTAACAGGCTTAGTTTGTAGCATAGGTTTTCAAGGATTAGTGCCCACTTCATCCACAACAGCTAGTGGTTCAAGAGAAAGGAAAGGGGAAGCACTTTTCTTAGCTATGGGATCCTGTCTTTACTTGCATTAAATTAGCAAAGACAAGCCAGGATTATATACAGTGGTGCCTCGCATTACGACATTAATTCGTTCCAGCGAAATCTCTGTAGAACAAAAACGTCGTAATGCAAAAATAAAAAGCCCATTGAAATGCATTAAAACCTGTTTAATGCGTTCCAATGAGCTGGAAACTCAGCGTCCAGCGAAGATCCTCCATAGGGCGGCTATTTTCGGTGCCTGTGCAGCGAGGAATCCGTCCCAGAAAACAGCGGGGAGCCATTTTATTTACCTGGTGGCCATTCTGAAACCACCGATCAGCTGGAGAAAAATCGTCATTTTGCGAAGAATCGTTTCCCAAAGCAGGGAACCGATCGTCGCAAAGCAAAAAAAACCCCATTCAGACCATTGTTTTGTGATCGCAAAAGATTGTCGTAGTGCGGTTTCGTTGTAATGCAGGGCAATTGTAAAGCGAGGCACCACTGTATATCAAACAACAAACAAGACAAGAAAAATCTCATTTCCTCCTATCTCACAACCCTAAAATCATAAAAGCTTTGAGAGGAAACAGGAGTAGAAGCTTGAATAGTATGTGTCCCTATTCCAGTTCTGGTATTAAAACCAAACATTTTGCAGTCAGAAGCACCTTGTTCCAAAATTCTGCCCCAGTTTGTGGCCTGTAGTGTTCCAGTGAAAAATAAAGAGACCCAGCAAGCTTAAAATCTGTCCCTCCCTCACCAACAACTTCCACTGAGTAATGCAGCAAAGGCAAACCTGGATAAAGAGGAGTCCAATGATAATAGTGTTTCCCAAAGGCTTTGGCATTGAAGTTGGCACACTGATGCTGCTTGAAGCTAGCTGTATTGGCAGGACAAAGCTGGAGAGACAAGAAATTGAGGCTTACCAGGTGTTCATTTTCCAATTAATAAAAGGCAACCATGGAGAACTGCATAATTCAGGCAGAATGTACGACTCATCTGAACTTTAAGCATTTAGTGATGTCAAGGTTTCTAGAGAAAATGCCAATGCTCAGTGCCAGATGCAAGGAAGGATTTGAATCTTTCTCCTTTCTGCACCACTATTCTGGCAGGAAGTTACATTTTTTCTATCGGGGGGAAAGTTAAATTAAAAATGTTATCCCCAGCCAGCAATCTGAAATAGTAAATTACACTCTACCAAAAGCACTAGTACTGTTCTGCATGTATAGAATGATATTCCACAGACCTGGCACAGTCAATGGCTGATCTTGGAGCAGTTATTATTTCTCAATATAAATTGCCTCATCGACTGATTGAGAGAAGAAAGGAGGCTGAGGACTAAATTTCAACTTTATTGTAACCTTACAGAAAAAGTAGAATTATATTTGAATGAATGAATGAATGAATGAATGAATGAATGAATTTCACTTTAAAGAAATTAAACCACTTATAGTTTTTGCCGTGATCTCATACTAATAGTTTACTCCTTAATTCTTAAAGAGGTAAAAAAAATGTGATGCCCTGTTGTGATCTTTTTGTTAAGTTATTTGATTTGATTTATTTAGCATTTTTAAACTCTACCTTTTCACTTTTTAATTCTTCAAAGTAACCTATAAACCAATTTTACTAAACATAAACTTTATATCCCAGTAGGAAAGAACAGGTTCCTTGAAAGCCTTAATTTTTGCGATCCAAAAAGACTTTCCAGATGTGCATTTGTTCTATTATTTGGTATGCTTTGGGGGGCAGATTGGTCCGCTCTTTTTTCTAGTGTCCACTCAATTGCCCTCAGACACTTCAACCCATGCATTTCTAAGTTCTATTTTTTTCATGTGGGTTGATGCACTCTGGTTTAGTCTGTGCCCAGAGTGTGGGATAGCTGGGAACAGACTAAAATTGAGCCTTGCAACGGTCAAAGTTGCCAAGGCTCCTTCCGGTTTTAATCAAAAAGTGGCTTAATAAATGAGCCACTTCAGGATATTAAAAAAATTGAACACTATCTCTGCCTCTCTGCAGAAGGGGAGGGGAAGTGAATTTGTGTGTGTGTCTGCTAGACTACTGCTGATGCGGTGAATCACTTACAGGTTACCTACCTGTAACTCTGGTTCTTCGAGCGGTCATCTGTGAATTCACACTAATGGGTTAATCTGCACCTGCAGCCTCGGAATCTTCTAAAGCTCAGGCACAAGGTGCCAGGACCTCCCACATGCTGGCTATAACTCGCCCCCGGCAACGAGTGGCTCAGTTCCATGGAACTGTCCGCTGCTGCACAGCACGCAATATGGCACATGTGACATACAGCGGGGAGGAAGGGCAGGAAGTGTGAATTCACAGATGATTACTCAAAGAACCAAAGTTACAGCTAGGTAACCTCTTTTTCTTCTTCGTGGTCTCTGTGAATGCACACTAAAGGGTGACTAGCAAGCTGACTTACCCGGTGGAGGGATGTCACGAAAGAACAGATGCCAAGACAGTTCGTTCAACGACAGCCTCTGCTTTGGCCCAAACATCTAGGTGGTAGTGGGCCGCGAAGGTAAGTGGCATGGACCACGTAGCAACCTTGCAGATATCTGCTAGGTCTACCCCTCCGAGGAAGGCTGTGGAGGAAGCAATTGCTCTAGTAGAATGGGCCTGAACTGTAGTCGGCAAAGGTGCACCAGCCAGTTCGTATGCTAGGTGGATTGTAGTAACTATCCACTGGGAAATCATTTGTGCTGACACCTGGAGACCCTTTGACTGCCCTTGGAAGGACACAAAAAGCCTGTGTGAGGAACGAAAGGACGCAGAATGGGAGACGTAATATGAAAGTGCCCTTTTGTCATCCAAGGAGTGAAGAGCCCTCTCCAGCTTCGATGTTGGGGTGGCGGGGGCAAGGCCAGGGCAAGAGGCCGGAGCTCCCTGGCCAGGAGGAGCCTCTCCTTCCAGTGCCTGGAGAGGTGGATCGTGGCGGAGGGGCGAGGCACAGCCACGATGGCAGCCGGGGCCAAGCTCAGCCTCCCAGTGCCGGGACACTGCCGCCCCATGGCCTGTTCCCGGATGAGCCCATTGGGCGGTGGCAGCACTCGCCTGGCCATGCGGCTTCCTTCGGTGCTGCCTCCACATCAGCCAGGCCTGGCAGAGCCTCTCACCCTCCCTGCGGCAGCTGTCATGGTGCTTTGATGGCAAGGACTGTGGGGAAGCCACCTGCTGCTCTTCGACAGCCGCCCAGGAGCCGCCCACCATGGAGAAGGAAAGCCGCCAAGGACTGAGCATGGCCCTGCCAGGTGGTGGTGGCGGCCCAGGTGCGGGTGGTGGCACTCAACTGGCCGCGCGTGACCGAGATCCTTCCTTTCAAATCAAGGGGGATAATGCTGGCATATGTACATTTTTTTGGGGGGGGAAAGGTAAAAAAGTTCCCTGATCCCTGCTATAGGTTGATTAAGGTGGAAGGCTGTACAAAAGAGCAATCAGGGAATAGAGTCACCTTATCAGGGTGGAATTGGAGGAAGGGTGGGTCAACTTGAAGGGCTGTCAGTTCACCAGCACACTGCACTGAGGTAACCACGAGGAGGAAGGCTGTCTTTAGTGTAAGGAGTCTGAAGGAAGTGGTAGCCATAGGCTCAAATGGTGGACCCATGAGCTTGTTTAGTACCAACTGTAGGGACCACTGAGGTGTGGGTGACTTGTAGGCTGGACGCATATTTCGGAGACCCTTTAAAAACTGCTTTAGAGTTGGATGGTGAAATAAGCCTGCAGCCTCTGAAGCGGGAGCTGATGGGCTACTATCACGGCTACATACACTTTGAGGATGGAATGTGACAGGCCTCAAAGAAAGAGAAGAAGGAGGAATTGTAGCAGTGCATCAAGAGAGGTAGGTCTCATGGGGAGGTGATTCTTAGTGGCGAAATCGGAGAATACCTTCCATTATAAATATAAAACGCACGTGGCGGTTGTGGAAGGCCTGAAGTGATCTCATTTTCAGCCTGGCCTCCACCGAGGTATCTGCCCAATCAGGAGATGGACCTATGTGCAGGTAAGGCGCTATCTCCAGCCTTGAGGGAGGAATATCATCATCTCCCAATGGCATGCTCAAACATACCATCTCATGTTGGGAATGGGTCACAGGCACCAACGACAAAGTCTCGGTTGAGGGCCGAGAGGTATTAGAAGATGGTTTCTTCTTATTCTTTGGCATCGAGGCCAAAGGAGGCTTAGATACTGGTACCAAAGCAGTTGACCTCGAGCCTGACAATGATGATTTAATTGCCTTGTGAGCACACTTAGGCGAGCAAGTTGTAGTTGAAGAGGTCTCAGATGGGGGATCTTGCGGTGGATCCATGGCCGAGGCTCGTGCTGGGCCAAGTGATTTCTCTCACAAGTAGGAGTGAAGTCGTTGGAGCCTCTGCTTCAGGGCAGGCTTAGTGAAAGCCTTACAAACAGTGCACAAAGCAGGCTGGTGCTCCTCCCCGAGACAGAATAAGCACTGCAAATGACCGTCAGAAAGCAGGACCTTGTTAGAACTTTGATTTTTACCCCGCCTCTCTAGACCATGTCTACTCGGGGCGGCTTACAAAATAAAACAAAACAGTATAAAAATATATAAAATCATAAAATTACAAATTTCTTTTGTAGCATTTTCTTCTGTCTCTCTCCCTCTCCCCTTCTTTCCCTATTGATTCTGCTATATATATTTTGCTGGAAGACACAAAATGAGCAAGTGAAATGTTTTGGTGTGTGCACACCTGCAGCTTAACAAACATTTTGTTACTTAAGAAAGCAAAGAAAGACATATTGGGTTTCTGTTTTTTTTTTCCTTCCTCTTCTTTTCATGGAGGATTTGTCTGTTGCGTGCAGATGAGAGGTGGTAAAAAGGTGAACATGGCTGGAAGGCAAAGTACAAATGGAAAATTGTACAGGAATTCTCAACAGAGTGATAAAAGTCTCTTTATTTTTTCAGGGAAACAAGATACTCTTTTGGGAAGTCTCATGTTCAGATGCACATGCACACTTTCTTTTTAAATCTGTTTTGAGTACTCCAAGCAACCCCCATCTCCTCCTCTTCTTCTGTGTATGTAAACATTACAAGGTTCAAAAGTAGGGGAACTCCTTTTTTTTGTCTCCAGTGGCAAAACTGGGAATGGGGTGGGAGACTGCACAACCCTTTCTCTGCTTGTCCTGCTCCTTTATCTCTACATCCTGTTCCTTCTCTCCAAACCTAGAGTAGCCAAAGGAGAACACAAAGGGCGTATAGGTGTTTGACTGCTTTTGGCTGATAATCAGCTTCTTTTTCTCCCCTTGCTCTACCATACGTAGTTTGCCTCTCTTATCCTCTGCCTCTGCTGCCTCCCTTCCAAACTGTACTTGAACCCAGTCCACTTTCTTTTCTCCAAAATTCCAGCTTTGCACAAACTTGCCACTTCAGGATACCAGAAATAAGGTCAAATATGCCACTTCGACTGCTCTTCCCCCACCACCTCAACTGACTTTATTCAGATTGCATAGCCTGCACCAAAAGGGCCAGTCTCAGAAATTCCCCAGACAGCATGCCCAAATCAAGATAAGCCAGTATAACAATATCAAGACATTGGGTCTGCTCCATCTGACATTTCATTGGACTTGATTGATTCGACTATCTCTCTCACTGATTTTAGACATGATCGTGACTTTTTGAAAGATTAAATACATCTATGGGGAGTGTCCTTTGGATGGCACGACATATATAGAGCAGGAATTCAGGGGAAAGCCCCTCTTTTTATTACAGCTACTAGAATCCCCCAACAAGAACGGCCAATGGCCATGGGGCAAGGGCATGGTTTGGGTGATTGTCTTCCAAGCACTGGTGAAACCTGCCCACTGGCAGCACACATCACTCGCTTGTTACAAAGTTGGATGGTGGCAAGAGGAACCAGAGCTGGAATGGGGATAAATGATGGAAAAGGCAATAAACTGGGCATAAGTCCTCTTGCTTTTAAAAACAACTCATCTTTACTATACCTTCACTTACTATCTTTGAGTAAACCTGTGATCACAGTCAGATCTCTATATGCTACTATTTAGCAGACGGTTGCTATCTGATTGTGAGAAGGTTCCTATAAGTTTAGAAAGCCTATATTTAGAATGGCAGGGTCTGATTTCCAATTTTTAAAAAGAAAATCATAAAAAGAAACTCCTTTCCATTACCTAAGGGTATATGGAGACTTTAAGGAGACAGGACCTAACTATATGTGTTTAGAAAGAGTGACTGATTCAAGGAATTCTCCTAAAATGTTGAGAAATATTCCTACTGGATTTTCTAACAGTAAAGTGTACTCAGGTGTAAGCAACATGTCTGATCTAGTCTGGCAACCCAATTACATGTTATTAAAAACTTCACACACACAGAGGTGGTAGTAATAACAAAAATCAATCCACTGTTCTCTGTTTTATTTCACTCTCCTAGTAGCCACAGAATGATGCAAAATATAGCTTTAAGGTCTATGATAGCAGATCTTACCTGTTGTTGGCACAGCTGGTAGTGCTTAGACTGACCCAGGCACAGGCTAGTATTTGTCCCCTGAAATACTTGCAGCCTGCAAGGAAAATATGATTAACATTGGCTTCCAGAAGTTTGTTTTGGACCATTGGTTCCACACGTTGGGTCCCCAGGTGTTCCTGGACTAGAACTTCCAGAAGCTTTCACCACTAGCTCTGCTGGCCAGGATTTCTGGGAGTTGTGGCCCAAGAACATGTGTTTTAGAGGTTAAGGGGGCACCACAGCCATAAAAAGTTCTGGTGCCCTTCTTCATGAGTTTGCAAGGGCCCTCACACATCAGTATAATAAAGGAGCAAAGGAAGGTTTTCTGTTCCAAAACAGAGATGCCTTAATCTGAATTTTAGAAGATGCTCAAAATGCTTCTAAAGATATGCCAAGTGCTGCTTCTTCAGCATTAAGAGAGTCTGACTAACAAACAGGCATGCAGAATGAAGGAAAACTCAAGATCAGAGAGTAGAGAAATTCCTTATTTGGTTTGCAACTGGGGGATTCTGAGAGATAAGAGTTTTTTTTACAGGAACTTTAGTTTGCTTTGGTGAGCAGATGCTTCCTGATGTGAAGGAAGATGCCGAGTGCAATCCTGAAAGATTAAGTTTCAAACTGTATTTAAGGACAGAAAGCTCTTTTTAGAATCCTGTTGTCTGAATCCTCTTTTGATGAGCTTATGGCATGGGCCACTGCCCCACTGCTTCAGCTAATACTGCACATAAGGAAAGGGAGGGAGGTGCTTGTTCAGGCTTTCTCTCCTCAAAAGTGTGTTCATGCAGAATGGAAACGAGCTGAGGTGAGCCAGAAGGAGAAGCACAACACCATGAGCTTTTTGGGTGCCAGTTCTCATGATCATGGCAGAATCAGCAGCAGCAGACGGTAAGAAGAAGTGCTTTCCCAAGGAGTCTCATCCAACGCTTTTCAGCCATGGTGGTGGTGGTGGGGGCTCTTCTGCAGAGCCTCTGTGGACCAGCAGGGTGGGAATGAAAGTGGGCAGGCAGAGAGCCAGAGAGCCCCAGAGATCCATGTGCCTGTCAACATAAATGTAACGGTGCAATCCCACACACCCCTACTGCCCACTCCACTCCTCCCCCTTCAATCAGGGAAGCTACCACAAGAGGCAAGCAGCTGTATCTCCTAAAAAAACCAGCAAGGATGACAGGAATACAGAGATATTAAAAGCAGAAAACTGCAAACTAACAATGAAGAGGAAATAAAAGAAGCTGGGCCAAACAGAGAAATCTCAAACTAAGCAACCATCCCTGCCCCCTGCCGTTTTGAATTACCTGTCTTCACTACGATGATAACATCAGCTACATCAATTATAAAAGTAGCATTCAGGTCAACTACCTGGCTTGGTTACTTACCGCTGGTGTAAGCAGTGCCTCTCTCGAGACATCACACCCCCTCCACAGGTACGGGAGCAGGTGGACCAGGAGCTCCATTCCCCCCACCACTGAGCGACCTCTTCGTTCCAAGTACTAGCTCTTTCTGCTGCCTCACTACTGTCCTGACACAAACAAGGAATGGTTAGCTTGAGAACTTCAGGCTCACCAGAGTTAACTCACATTCTCTTCACTATACAGTGTGCCTTGACTTACAAACTTAATCTGCATTGGAACAGTTGCTGTAAGTCAAAACGTTCGTAAGTCAAAGAACCATTTCCCATAGGAATGCATTGAAAACCAATTAATCTGTTCTGGACGAAGAAAAAAAATACCTATATATATATAAAATAAACAGAGCAAGTCCCATGCTGGGACTGCAAAACACACACACACACACACAACCCCCCCACAAAACAACACAGAAATGTAACCCTCCCAGCCCAAACCTACCCTCCAAAACCCACCCAGAACAACTTTTAAAAAGGAAAAAGCAGCACCTTGCCTCCACCGCCGCGACAGCTGCGGCCAGGAGGCCTCCTGGACTCCAACCGCCGCTGGATGGCCAGGGCTCCAGCAGCCTCTGCAGAGGTTTCCAGGGCTTCCAAAGCACCAGCACCCATAGCGGCGGGGCCAGCCATGGTGGAGGGAGCCCTTACTCACAACTAGACCCATGCTTTCTGCGGCGCTTATTCATGATTCAGCAGAAGTAAAAAAGTTCCCTGACCTCATGCTCTAACCGTTGGGGTGAAAGAAGCAGCCTCTTTGCCACCAACTATTTGAATTGAATCAACTGCCATCCGGAGTTTGGCTCTATCTCCCTCCGTTCCGTTTGACTAGGCCCTGCTACTCCTGATTGCCTCACCCCCCCCCAACATCAGCCACCTGGCTCAGGGGGAGTGAAGGCTTTTAAGTGTGGAAGGCTGTGGGGGGGGGAAATATTGGGTGTTGGTTAGTGAGACTGAGTTGTTTGTCCCGCTCCCTGGCTGGCTGGTCGCCATGTTGGATCTCCAGGGGACGGGACTTTTTCTAAGACTGCTTCACTCACTCTCCCTTTCTTGGACCATCTGCAAAGACGCTCTGCCCCCACACAAGGGGCGGGAAGGGCCAGTGTCTGTAACAACGTGGCTCACCTCCACGAGTAATACATCACCTCCTTCAACATCATCTTTAACACCAATATTCAAAATAACATTGAAACAGATATTGTTGAATGGACAAGGTTGTGTGGAGGAGGAGGGAGGATCAGGATTATAT